GGGGGGAGAACAGAGCAACGTGGCTTCCCCAGCCCGGCTGCAGAGCCAGCACTGATCCCACCACACACATGGCCCTGTGTGCAAACAGCCCCGTTGCACAAACAGCCCCGTTGCACGAGCATTGTGCACCTCGAAGCTCCCCGCTGCGCCAACTGCTCCACTGCACGAACACCTCCGTCGCACCAACAGCACCACCGATGCACAACCATCCCTATTGCACAACCCTCCCTATTGCACAACCATCCCTACTGCACAACCATCCCTATTGCACAACCCTCCCTACTGCACAACCATCCCCGCTGCTCCAACAACCCCACTGCACCAACTGCTCCATTGCACGAACGCCTCAATTGCATCCAAACGGGCCGTTGCACAAACAGCCCCACTGCACAGGCAGCCCCCAAATGCGCGCCAGCTGCTCCGCTGCACCAACCTTTCGATTGCACCGACAGCCCCTCTGCCCCACTGTGCAAACGGCCCCGCTGAATAAATGGTCCCCATTGCACCAACATTGCACCGTTTGTACCGACACCCCCTGTGCTACACAGCACAAACACCCACCCATGGCAACCCCCATCCCCGCTGCATCCAGCACCGCAGCCCCCCCCCTCCCCAGGGCAATGGCCTCAGCATGGAGATCTCAAGGGGAACCCAAGAGGACCCCTCTTTTCCCTACAGGAGGATGCAGCTCCCCACATTTCGGGCCCCCCAACCGCAGTGCAGTGACATGGGGACCCCCTCCCCCCCCCCCCCCTACAGGGTCACACTGCAGCACTGTCTTGTGGCTGCCCACGGGGTGCTGGGCTCGGGGTGCAGCTGCTGTGCGGGGCCCTGGCTCCCCTCCAGGTCCAGATCATTTTCTCTCCATTCTGCCAAATTTACAGCCAGGAAATGAGCTCCGATTTCCTTTTAATATTCGGTCGGGAGGAGATGGGGGTGGGGGTGGGGGGGTGAGAGGCAGCAGGGGGTTCTGCAGGGTTTTGGAGGCTCCTCAGAGGGGTCAGGGTTCTCCCCTGGGGTCCTCCAGGATGGATCCTGGGCAATATTTCAGGAACCATCAGACGCTGCGGTTGTGCCGCTCACAGCTCACATTGACGGCGGTGCAAAGAGGCCTCATTAAATCCTTCCTGTCAGACACCAGTGGGATCCATCCGTGGGGGAGACGCTGGGGCCGATAGAAAGCTGGAGCCCAGAGCGGGGTGACCCTTTTTGTATCCCTGTCTCCATAGCGGTGCATCCCATGGGGATGCTCAGGGATGTGGGTGCTGAGCATGTCCCTGTCCCACAGCCACAGCGTGGGGATGGGGACACCGCCGTCCCCTGCTTTGGCTGCAGGTGACGGCTGTGGATGTCCTTGAGCGGTGGCCCTGCGTGTCCCCGGTCCCCTGTGTGGCTGCAGACCCCCAGTGCTGCAGTGCCACTGGGGTGACCCCCCCCCCAGGGGGCAGCGCTGGGGGCTGGGACCCACCTCAGCCTCACGCCAAGAAGAGGGGCTCTGATCCTATGGGGGCACGGAGATCCCACAGCCTTCAGATCAGGCGTCTGGGGGGTAGGAGAGGATGGGGAGGGGGGTCCCTATGTGATACCAGAATGGATGGGGGTCCTGGGCACAGCCTGCAGGAAGGTGGGGTGGAGGGGGGGGGATTTGCTGGGACGGAAGGGGCCACGCTTTGGGCCTGCAGAGGCTGCGCTGAGCCACAATGGCTTCACCCAGCCCTGCTGCCCCCTCCCTCCCAGGGGGGCCATGGGGACTCCTCCTCATCCTCACGATGGGGACAGTGAAGAAGGGGATGAGCGCATCCCAGAGGGGGCCTCAGCCGGGACACAGATGTGTTATCACCTCCTGCAGCCCCCTCCCCAAGCTGTTGGTGCCCCCCAGTCGGGTTGCAGCACAACCCTGTGCCCGGGGGTCCGTCCTGTCCCCAGTGCGTCCCCACTGGTGGCAGTGGGACCCCACTCCCCCCCATGCCCCCGAGCAGCGCTGCTGCTTGTGAGCAACTGCAGAGGAGGGTGCAGCTAAAAATAGAGGCGGGCGGCCGAAAGGCTCCGGGTGGTGATTTATTTATTACCCGCTCCCTAATTTCTGCCTGGGAATCACGGGGATGAGGGGGGGGGTAGGGAGGGGGAGAGGCAGGAATTTGGGGCGCTGAGGCTGTCCTCGCAGCCCCACTCCTGCAGTCATCATCTCCCAGGGACGCCCTGCTGGGTCCATATGGCCCAGACTGGAGAGCATCTGCTGGTGTCAGCAGGAGCCCCCGGCCCCACACACTGCATGGGGGGCAGCGTGGGGGGGCTGAGACTGGTTTAAGGCCACTGGGCATCATGAGGGGAGCTGAGATTGGTTCAGGGCTGTGGAGCTGGGACCTCTGAGCTGGTGGAGCCATCAGCACAAGATGGGCTGAGACAGTGCCATGGTGGGACCCCCCCCAGTGCCAGTACTGCTGCCCCATGGACACCCCCCCGAGTGCAGAGCCCAGATTTGGAAGGGTTCTGTCCCATGCAGAACCCGTGGGGATGGCAGAAGGGGGTGAGGATATCTGTGGGTCTGGAGGTGCATGGAGAAAGGCGGGCGGTTGGCACCCGTGGGGACACACAGGGACACTCACACCACCCCGGGCAGAGCTGCCATGTGGGGAATCCCCTGGAATGGGGGATGTCCCGGGGTCTCCCCAAGAGGAAAGCAGAGGGAAACCCTCCTGCAGCCAGAGGATCTGGGGCCAGGGCTGGATCGGGGCCTGGGGGACAACAGGGACACGGGGACAGCAGGGACAGCAGGGACGGCACCAGCTGCGGCTTCCCCAGGGCTGGGGAGATCCCCCCTGTCTTCCCCGACCCAACAGAGACCACGTCCCCAACCCTCCCACAGCCGATGGGCACCCAACGTTGCCACCCCACCATCCCCACCGCAGGGCCCCCACGAGGGTGGCACCTCCCACCCCCACCCCAGGACCCCCTCAGCCCCCCCGTACCGGGGTACGGGCACCGCAGCGGCGGGGATGCCCTACCTGTGCCAATCGCGGTGGGTGCCCGGGGTCCCCGCTCCCCTCCACCGCCACCACCGCCGTCCCCAGACAAAGGCACCGCGCCGGCTGCGCCCGCCGCCCCCCCCTCGCCGCTCGGCTCAGCCGCAGGACAAAGCCGCCACGCATGGCTGCCCCCAACGGGGCGAGCGCGGACCCCCTGCCCGGGGGGGGACTGGGGGTGCCCGGCCGTCCCCGCTGCCCTCGAGGGGTGGGGGAACCCCGAGCCCCTCCAGCCCCTTCGCGGAGCGTCGGCGCCCGGTTGTGGGGAGGTGCCCCCTCGCCCCCCACCCCGTGCGCAGGGACCCAAGGTCACGGGGAAGGGCAGAGAGGGGCTGGGGGAGCACCCCGCCGCCCACCCACCCGCGGCCTCGATGGGTGAAAAGCGCAGCGCAGAGATCACAGCGGGGCCCCGTGCGCTGACCCCGGACTTTGAGGTGGCAAACACGGCGCACGGCCCCGGGGACACCACCGGAACACGGCGGGGGACACCGCGACCCCGCGTCCGACCCCACCGCCCTCACCGCCCCCCGAACCGGCACCGCCGTCACAGCACGGCACCCCGCAGCGGGGAGCCCCGGGGCGTCCCCCCTTCCCCCACCCTTCCCTGTCACCTTTGCATCCCGGTGGCTTCGGTCCCCGCACGTCCCCACGCACAGACACCCGAGGGAGGCTTCGCCACGAGCAGCAAACCCACCCGGAGCACCGCACCGTCCCCGCGTCACCACCGCCACCGGGACACGGGGATGCTCCAACGGGAGCCGGGCCACGGCTGGGGGAACCCATCCCGGGGTTCCCTCCCAGCTCCGTGTGTAAAAGCAGCCCCCCAACCCCCCCTCTCACCTGCCACAGCCCCGCAGGATGGGGACGAGGACGCGGGGACGCGGCGGGGGCGCGGGGGCTGCTCTGTGTCGGAGCCGCGGGCGCCTCTGGGAGGGAGCGGCAGCACGAGGGGGGGCCGGGGGCTTCCCCGCCCCACACCCCCGCGCCACCCCCGGCCCCACCAGGCGGGTGGTGACCTTGAGGCCGCGCTGGCGGCGGTGGTGGGGAGGATATTTTTAGCCGGGCACAGTCACTCCCGTCGCATCCTCATTGTTCGCGCCTTCCGCGCCCCCCCC